CGCGCAATTTAAATGGCTGAATAATGAATTTAGAATTCATAGAAATATTATTAGGCACCAAGATTGACCATAGAAAGCGCTCTCAAATTTATTTGTTTTAATTAATCAGCTGTTTCTTGAATTTTCTGTGTATTATGATTCATATTTAAAAATAATTTTTTTTTATTAAAGTATTTTATTTTATTTTTTAATAAACTATTACTTTTATGTAATAAATTGAACTGCTAATTACGTAATAACGACCTGTCAGTGATGTACAATATTTCGAGACGTTGTTGTAACATAACATACGACGAGTTAATATATCATATAGTGATGTGTTAGTCACACCACTTGTGTGTGTGTGTGTGTACAGTCAGAGTATAATAAAAAACATATAAATTAATCCTCCAAATTTTGATAGTTGCTTGAACTTTCATAAGACTGTTGGTCTCTAACAGTATCTGTCATCAATGTTTAAAATGATATATGTTTATAATTATATATTTTAGTATAATTTACACGTAATATATAAATACAAAAAATGGCTAAAGAAAAAAAAAGAAAGAAACTCTAGTTTTTGAAATTCCAAAAATGTCTGCAGCTATATTCCTATTTGTATTCTAATATATTTGGTCAATTTTCAAGCAGTTAGATTTTCGCGATTTGAAATTCTAATCTTAAAATTCTAGGAATTCTCTCAATTTTTACTTTTTGGAATTCTTAAAAAATTTTAGATAGAATAACCTTCCTGTCAATATATTCTCTTAATAGTTCGTCGATTTTTAAGTCTCTCTTTTCAGTTGTCTCTTTTCAAACAACACAGAGATTCTAAAAATAATTCTTTTTTAAACCTCGAATTGTGAAATGTAGTCTTCTTCGTCCATTTCATTTCTGGCTCAAAAAACGTTCTTAAGATTCTAAAAGATTATATCACGCTTTTATATAATTTTTAGCTCTTTTTCAGATACAAAAGATAATCTTTTTATAATCTATAAATTCGTAATGCAATCGAAATAGTTTTGAAATAGCATTTCAGCAAATGTAAATATATAACTCTCGGAAATATTAATTAGGTCCTTAAATTAATTTCTACACAGAATTAAATGAAATTGCAATGTACTGTCAAAATTCTTACTTTATTTACTTTCATCTTGAAGTCCAATTTTGGAGGTTGCAAATTATAAAGTTCTTCAGACATTATTTTATCAAAATTTTGTTTGAACACGATTCTTACGATCCCTATCAAAATATTTAATACTGGAAAAGTCTAACAATTATTTATTTTTAATATTTACTTATTTTTATTATTAAGAGCATTAGCAAACAGTGTTTTTAATACTTAAAATAAATAATTATTCAGTTCTTTCAGTATTAATTAAATTTCTATAAGGAGAATGAAAAACCTTATACTATGTCTTTTATTCTATTCTGTATGATTTCTTAATTCTTACAAGAAATGGAACTCTATGCGCATACATCTGTCGGCGGTGTCGTGTGCGCTGCTCACAGGTGCGGCACTGACTTTAGTACCTATCTAGACAAATTTGCACAATTGCATAAACCATATGCATAAAAAATTGTCCAATCATATTTCTGTACGAACGTACGTAAAATGTGATTGAATTTTCTTCATATATATGGTAATTTTCTTTATGCTACTGCACAAGTTTGCTGCATGGATATTAAGCCTTTAGTGAAGAGTGTAATTTATACTTTTCTGTTAGTTTGAGCTAGCAAATTTTCAATTAATAATATATGATTATAGTAGAGAAGTACTTTGAAGTACAAGAAAAATGTAGTAACAGTAGCAAATTCTCTTGCTGCAGCAAGACACAGATACAAGTGTGATTTGCTGTTTATACATCAGACATCTCTTGAATTTCTACCGTCAATCTCCTAGATAATACAGAGAGTTCAAAAAGAATTCAGTCGTATATGTGTCATCAATTCCGAGCTCATTTTCAGGTACAAAAAGAAATTCTTTTTCTAGAATTTCTAGAGAAAGAATTATTTTTGAACTCTCTCTCTGCTATTTGGGTCTATCGTCAACGTTCAAGAGAACCTGCTCGCTGTTAACTATTTTGAACAGATATTAGCGGCGGGTGTCCTATTTTAAAGGATTCATTAAGATTTCTCGAAAACTATGGTAGATACGAAAAAATGTTTCAAACAAAAATTATATGATTTCAAGGAGGACATAAAATGGTACCATTGGTTTGACCCTGGGTGGCGTTGTCAAGGTCAGGGAAAAGTCGCTTTAAATTTTTTAAATGGAACCCCTCATTTTTTATTGCATATTCTTGTAGCTTATCGCGAGAGCTTTTCAAAAAACTATATAATAAAATATTTTTTCATTAAGCACTTTTCGAAAGTTATAAGGTGCGCTTGAAAGTTATTACAGTACGCTGACGTTAGCATTATCTATAAGTTGTCCAAACAATTACTGAAACCTTATGAATGTTATTCGAGAACATGACCTTGACAACATTCAAGATCAAGGCCGTTAAAGGCCACTAATTAAAGGTTGTTGCTTTTATTTTCATTTTTGAAAATTATTTTTACTTTTTGAAAAAAGAGGAACACCTTCCAATGGCTGTGGATGGCTAGCGCCAGCGGTGTTGTAACTAATTTCAAGCCTTATAACTTGAAAAGTGCTTAATGAAAAAAATATTTTATTGTAATGTTTCGAAAAGCTTTTGAGATAAGCTATGAATATGCAATAAAAAATGAGGGGATTCATTAAAAAAAATTTAAAGTGACCTTTCCCTGACCTAGTCAACGCCATCCAAGGGCAAGCCAATGGTACTCTTTTATGTCTCCCTTGAGATCATACAACTTTTATTTGAAACATTTTTCCGTATCTATCATAGTTTTCAAGAAATCTTAATGGATCCTTTAAAATAAAACACTCGGTATACCGTTGCATTCTTATGTGATGAATGTTTACACTTTCGCAATAGCAAAATTGCTTAATTTGCCATCAGTCTGTCATCAATGAGTTCGACATATGTATGTATATAATGCTTGCTGTCACTCATATTATATTTTGCCGACAGAGATTGCATATTTACTGGAAGTGTGCTAACAGTATCGGCAATAACAATGCAAATAATATACGCTTCCCATTTACGATCTTTCGGTATAAGTTTGCTGCCAACGTTTGCAATTGCAGAAAATAGGGGGTAAGATAAGGTGTTTTTAAAGACATTATTTTATATAAAATAATGTTTCAAAGTATATCATAAATCGGGATGCCATTTAAATTTTGAATATAAATTCTCGACAGTTTCACAAGATATGTCTTCGAAATTTTAAGGTAACTTTAAGTAGACGTTTTAAAGTTTTCTGGTGAAAAACTAGAACCTCGACGGTTCCGCAATCAGTGTCGGCGTCATTCGGTCGAGAGGCGCGCGTTCAAAAGCGAAACAGAAGAGGCGTGAGCAGCAACGCGGCGCCTTCAAAAGCGAGGAAATTCAGTGAAAGAGTCACTTGTCCAGTGACAGTGCTTTCGAGGTCAGTAGACCGCGCAGGTACTCGCGTGCGTGCGCGCGCGCGCGCGCACGCGCGCACGCGGCAGGTCCCGCCGTAAACCTTAAATCGCTATTTATGACCATCCCGGCGTATCTTTTTGTATAGACGCTTGTTCAGCGGCGTAGGCTATTTCTCCTCGCCAAAGAAGGAATGTCGCCAATCTTATAATCGCCACCCAGCCGCGCGATCGAGTCGCGCGACAACGACGACAACGACGTTCATCAACCCTGTCGAAGTTGCAGCCTTAGTTCCTTCCCTTTGGTGCCCCGGAAGCGATAAAAGAATTTGAAAAGGGCGCCTCGTCTCTTCACGCGAGATAGAATTGTGGCAACCCTGAGACAATTCCAGGATTTTCAAAATATTTGAAAAGAGCCCGTGTTGCTTATAGGATGCATGCGATCTCGTGCGATTCTCTCCGTTTCAGGACTAACCGAGTTGGCACTCAGGCTACGTCATTGGCAGGGTCCCCGTGACACAGATCAGCGGCGGCAACTATAACGGTACACGCCGGCGTGACCTACTCTCGACGAAGTCTCGCGCTCTCTCGATCCTTCCTCCTTCGTCCTCTCTTCGTTTCACGTCTTTCCCGTGGACTCTCCTTTCTTTTCAGGGCCGAATATCCAGTTGGGCCTAAGCACGCTGTATTCTGCAGTCACGCGAAGACACACGGAATACGAAGGCCAATTCCGAAGAAGTATACAGTACTCGCGCATTTCTCTGTTTTCTTTAAAGAGAGTAGTATATCCATTATCTTTTTCGTAGAAAATCAAAATAAAAATAAGAAGTTATAGCTTCAGAGAGAGAGAGTGCACTGTACACCGTGACAACATTCGAAAGGCCAAGAGGACCCGCTTTTCGACGCAGTCATCTGAACGAGATCTTCCATTTTCGGACTGCTTCCGCGAAACCGGGAGATCTCGTCCGCGAACGATCGATCGTATTCCGTAACCGGGAATCTGGAGATTCGAGCCAGGAGCCGTGGGCAAGGCGAGACGAGACGGTCGGCCGCCACTGCCACGCGTATAGCATCTTCTCTCCCGTACGCTGGCAGGCTGTACACTTTTTCCTCCACATGAGGAGCATCGCCACGGGTCGCCTCGTCGCATGGGCGGACGGCCGACGGCGGGCCGCGGCTGATTACGGGCAGTAATGAAAGCGGCCTGCTTGCACGCGGTAGGTAGGCAGGTGCGCGCCGCCGTCTGTGTGACGTCTGTCATGTAGCCTTCTCTCCGTCGTTTTCGTCGTTACGTTTTCCGCCCCGCATCCGTCGCATCCTTGCTTGTTCAGGCCGTCAATGAGGCACCCCTTGCCGCCCTTGTTGTTGTTGTTGTTGTTGTTCTTCGCGCGCCCTAGCTGCAGGGCTAACCACGCGTGAGTGCGAAAGCACGCGAGGAGTAGTTTTGAATCGCGTTAGTCGTCGCGGGCTGTCACGAATCACCTGCGGGTCCAGCCGCTGGACCAGCGAGTCAAGAGCTCCCGCGCGAGTTATGAGAGCGACCGCGTCTTTCGTTCTTCAGGTGAGTGCTTGAATGAACAGTGAAGATATACCCTTGTTTTCTTCCTCGAACGCGAGTGAACTGCAGAGTGTCGTATACAACTTCCTCATGACAAACAAAATGGAATTGGTAGAGAAAACGGCGAATATTTGTTTTTTTTTTTAGGAATTATTTAATCTTCAAGAATCGAAAATTTAGTTTTAGTGTCGTTCGATTGTCGCCCTTTCTCTCGATTTTATTTTTATTTTTAATTATATACTATTTAAGATGAAATAATTGTCATAAGACATGACTTACAATAATTATCTCGAATCGATTTGATTCTTCTTAAAACGTGTTAATGAAAATCTAAGAGATTTATAAAAGAGGTATAATTTCACAAAAATAAAAATGGGGTATTTTAAAAACTATCTTCAAAAATCGAAAATTTAGTTTTAGTGTCATTCGATTATCACCCTTTCTCTATATTTTTATTTTTATTTTTAATTATATACTATTTAAGCTGAAATAATTGTCATAAGAGACATGACTTACAATAATTATTTGGAATCGATTTGATTCTTCTTAAAACATGTTAATGAAAATCTAAGAGATTATAAAAAAGAAATAATTTTACAAAAATAAAAATGGGGTATTTTTAAAAATATTAAATATTATTTATGGAAAATCTTTATAACACAGTTATAATTAAAATACATAAAAAACAATAAAAACCTTTTTGTTTAAAACACTATTTATAACGTCTGTGTATTATAAAATACTATCGTTCATTAAGTCAGACAAAATAAAATAAAACAGTTTCAAGCATAATTTTTTTTTTGCAATATAATATATTTGAACTTTTCTGATTGTAAAATTGCAAAAATGTTTATCACAGTTTGATATATTGTCTGGAAAACAATTGTTTTTAAAGTTTTCTGAGTAATAGACGCCACGAAAAAGAAAAGTGGGTCCATCATGGACGATATTACAATTCTAATATTGTCCAATATGTTTAGAGAGAAAAATTCTTAAGTATGCTTGAAAAATTAATAAAATACCCAAATTATTTAAGGGTAATAATTAAAGCAAAATAAAATTTTTTTATAAGAAAATTGTAAGTTTTCCAAGCAATATATCAATCTATAACAAATATTTTTATTTTAATTAAAAAAGATTAATTATAAATTATAAATTATTGAAAAAAGTTTCGGTTATAATTGCTTAGAATTAAATAGAAATTAGCTTTTAAGAATTGTTTTATCCCTTAAATTTTAAAGTAGATACATATAAAAAAATACGCGTAGATTTTTATATTTAAAAATATATTTCAAGAAAAAATTTTAGTTGTAATATATATATTCTCTGTTAATTATATTGTATATTTAGATTACCTATTTAGAACTATAACATATAAGACATATCGATATCTTTCACGATTTCGTATTTTACATTTGGCATTTATTTCAGTAATATATAATCGGGAATAAATATAATAACATATAAAAATGCATGTAAAGTTTTAAGATTTCAAGATTTCTGATAATTTTTGTAAAAATAAATAGCTAAAGATAAAAAGAAATAAGAAAGGAATTTAAAGTCAATTTTAACATCTTTGATTCGGAAGATTAAGATGCTCCTGCATGGACGTACCCGGGATTTCAGTCGGGGAGGGGAGGAAGAAACAGCCAAAATTTATTTTCACAAAACTTATTAAAATACTTACATTAAATTAAGCCAGTTTTCGAGGATCTTCAGCAAACTTTCTTAATACTTTTTCTTCTAGCTTCTTATTCTTTTCATAAAAACAATTATTTTTAATTTAATTGCTTCTTCGTGCCAAAATTTGAGGGGAGGGCAAGCACCCCCTTCTCCTTGCATATGCCCATGTGTTCCTGTTAAAACACTTATTGTCAATTCTTGTCCACTCACTTCTCGTTTGTCTATTAATTACACTTTTTCGGGAAGTTAAAGTGTCCGATAGAGTAATGGGAGACATCTATTTATACGTCGTAAAATATAGTAGGGCTGCTACTTTTTACTTACATACTTTGAATATTCGAAGCTTCGAAGTTTTGAAAAATACATTCGTGCAAATTTAATTAAAAAATTAATAATTTTTATTAATTTTAAGATTTTCTGTTTTTAAGATTATTTTATGCTGAGGAAGATTTAATGACGCCAAAACAATTATATTAATTTATTTTATTTTTGTTCATTTATTTAAGAAAAAATTTATTTTTTCTTTGAATTTTTTAAATTTGTTTTATTGAGCATTATATCTGTCTCTTATACACATCTCTGAGCGGGCTGG